TCCCTGGAAATGATCTGGTTAAGTCTCCTGGAGAATTTTAATTTGTCTGCATATCAAGTAGCAGATGAACTTGCAGGTGCTCTGTTGGCCTGCAAAACTTTAATGGGGTTGGCTAATGATTATCTGTGACATGACAGCACACACATCAGGGATCTTGTTTCTTCATTGTACTGTCTCTGTTTTGTAGGTATTTGGCTGTGGAATTTACCCATCCCCTTCCTGTCAGTCTCAAAGCATATTTAGTAGGGTTGCTGTAGGGTCTGGCACAGCACTGTCCTATTTCCTGAACTGGAGATCCCATGTGTTCTTCCATTGTCTGGTCAGAGGAGGGGGTATTTGTTCTGTGTTGGAAATACTGTCTCATCAGCAGTGAGCAATTAGGTCTTTTGGTTTGTGGAGATGCTATAAAAATAAAATAGCAGCAATATTGGCTTCCTCTAGATTGATTACCATGTTCAATACAACTCTTAAGTTCCCCTTTTTTGAGCTGGATAAATTCTTGCTGTGTGATAGCTTCCATGAAAACAGTGTAGGCCAAATAGTATTCAAGGGATTAAAATGTTGGCCTTATGAGTGAATTGCACAACAGTGACACTTTCAGGTTTCCCTGGGCCAATGTGCAGATGGAGCGGGGGTTGGGTGCATGTTCAAAGCACATATCTTGGAGGCACTTCATTTTAATGAACTTCATTGTAATTTGTCAATATTCATCTAATTAGACCTTAACTTCTCTTCCTCCACAGAGCTCATGTATTAGTTTTACTTACTGGAAAGAGACTGTATCTATACTGCTTAGTCCAGATCGGACATCACCTTGTGCCATAGTTAGCTACATCGATGAGGCATATATGGACATTGACAGAGATTTCACTGAGGAATGATTCTTTGGACTTTGGCTTTTGATGGACAGTGCTTGGAAGGTACCTCACAGACTGGATTTTCAGGGATACGCTGCGAAGTGTGTGTGTGCAGCTTGGAACTATGGAATACTACTGCATTGTTAAAGACTTGTCCTGCCTCTGATCTCTAAAGACTTTTCAAATTATCTGGGCAACACATTCAGCCATATATTCCGGTCATTTTGGGATAAAAGTAATTTTCCACAAAAAAACAGCTCTTTTCCTGCTTCTCTCAGGCAAGTGTATCTAGTTCAAACCCTTTCCATTGATAGACAAGGAACTATTCTATGTGCCAACTTAATTTTGGTTCTTCCTCATGACTGCCAGAATTAGCAGGTTTAAAAAGCACAGGAAATGTCCCAGCTCATTCAAACACAAGGTCTGACAAACCAGCCTGACTGGGACCCCTGATGCTTGCAGTCCACACACACACAGGCACCAGGAGGACTCGCATCAGGTTTAACTTTGGGTTTGGATTTGAACTTTAGGTTTGACCAGACTGTTTGCTCTTAATTCCTGGGAACTATAGCTCTCTCCACCTTTTTACTATCCACTTTTGGATTGTTTGTAACAAAATCTCTTTGGCCAGCATCTGTTTGACTGTGGTGTTCTGCTTGGACGTCTCTGCTTCTGCTGCTGTCCTTTCTGTGAATACTTCCCATCTGAAGATGTATTTACAATGCTGCAAAGAAGAGACATTTCAGTAGTAGTGGAATTGCAGTCTGGGGCCTAGTTTTGACCAGGCATTAACCAATTAAAATGTATTGATTTTTAAACTTGTAGCTTGTCCCTTCTTGGGTAACTAATCTGACTTTAAAATCTGGACCAGTGCACTTGTTGCAAGGTAATATGCTCTTAAACTTAGTACTAACCTGCTTATGTCTGGAAGCCTAACACCAGTATCTAAGCTTGCAGTCTTCAGTACTTTAAAATCAACACATATAATTCATCTTGAAGTGCAATACTTACTGGAGATTTCAGGTTTTTTCCTGGGTTTGTTATTTTAATGGGTAAGTGTACGCAATGCTGAGCATAAACACCCATGGTTAAAAATAACTTTGCTCCCACCTCCCCCAGCAGCTTACAAATTTTAGCAAAACTAAGTGCTTAACCGCAGCTTGCAGCTCATAATCGGGAGCATTAAACAAGTTGCTCCAAAGCTGGATGCTATTATGGTGAGATTTCCTGGAATGAAATAGTCCATTGTTGAAGTCTTAAGCCTCGTATGTATTTTGTGGCTCTAATTTAAAAGAAGTCATCCCCTAAAATGAAATTTAAATTTGAAATGTAACCATTTAGATCAGTTTACACTAATAATTGGTTGCACAGACAGTTCTCCTAGAATTTCCTCAAATGTATTGCAAGAACTGACAGTGAAGGGGGATCTGAACTTCAGTGCCTTTGTATTCCTTCTCCTAGTCCTGGCTTATAACCACCTTCTCCAGGACTTTGTCTGCAGTCAAATGAAGGAAGAGAGAACATGGCTCTGCAGCTAAGCCTGGCACAGATCAAGATGGGCATCTTACAATGTATAATAACCTTTGCCAGCAAAGGGAATAAAAATGATCTCAATTCCTAACAAGGGGTGTGAATGTGCAGGACAGAAGATCAGATTCTGGAATGGGAATTGCACCATCTGAAGAGTGCTGATCTGTCTGTAATCAGACCTGTCTTTTGAGATGACTTCAGCTACTATTAATATGTACATCAGTGGTCCCTGTTGTAGGTCCCATTCAAATAGGACAGATAGCATGGGAGAGTCAGCATTTTGCTTGTGGTGTGTTCAGAACTTCTGAGGCAGTACATCCAGCTGGAGTCTTAAAAAGTCTTCTCTTCAAGGGATTTTGCTCCCTAGTAGACTTCATTTCAACACACCACCTCTAGTCAATGTCACTCCTTCACCTAAGATTTCACATGTTGGGGGTACCAGCTACAACTCTCTATTCTTCATCAGCTTTTCCCTCTGGAGCTTAAATACTTTTTGTTCTTAGAGAAGTTTTGTTTCTTGGTGTCTCTGCCTATATTTACCTGTAATAGAAGTGCACTCAAAGGCTTCAAACTAAAACGCTTTTAAATTATAAGGGATGCCTATTCCATAGGGTAGGTAACTGGTGCATCCGAAGTTTGCTGCTATAAACCTACAGAGAATGCATTTTGGTCCTGTATTTCTAGACTTGTGTAACTCAGAATTAAGGGCCAAGCTGCTTTTATCCTTAGCAACTGGCCTGCAAAATCATCCCCACCTGTTTTCTGTGTAGTGAGTGTGCTGTCCTGTGGGGGGAAGCACAGTGGCTTTCTATATTTTCTTCTTTAGGCACTTTGGGTTTTCATGAGTACCAACAGCTCCAAGGACTGTTCTGGGTTGGAATCTTGGAGCCAAGCCCCACTATCCCTTTTGCAAGAGGCTCATTGAGAGTTAGCTTGCCCCTGCCAGGTGCACAAAAAGCAAATTCTTCAATCTCCTCCCTCAAAGTAGCCCCATCCCTTGTGGGGAAGGCTCTGCATGGGATTCTAACAGACTTATTAGATGCTAAATAAATTGGAGCTGAGTTTCACTTCTGACTTTGATGGAGTTCTTTGTTCATATCAGCCTCCCTGCAAGTCACCAGAAGCAGCTTGATTCTTCCTTCTTGTGGTAGTAGAAATGTCTCATTTAATGAAGAACAGCAGGAGAAATGTCTGTGCCAGGGTAGGATGGAGAGCATGCCAGCTTGGTCACCATCTGTAATGTGGATTTTCAGCAGACTTTGTGCTGGAGTGTGGAGCATGGGGGTGAGATGTCATCAGGTTGAACACACTCAAGGAAATCTGCACTATCCCAGTGAATTGCTGAGGTTTGTGCTTAATTAATGCCAGATTAATGCCAATTTATTAACTGCAAATAAACATATTAAATGGAAACTATTAAAGAAATCTATTTTAAAAGAAACCTGTGTGGAGATGTCTTTCTTTATATCAACTCTGGCCTGCGGTGTGAGCAGAGCCGCTGGCTTTTCCTGTCAAAGCAAAGGAATCCTCACAGTCTGAAAGGCTCCATGGTGTGGGTCACTGGAGAGTGAGCCTTGCTATGTTGGCTCAGACTCTAGTTTACTTAAGTTCTGCTCTGCTGTTGCTTTGGCAGAGCTCTCCAAGCCCTGGTGGAGGATGAGGAAAGTGTCAGATTTTTACCAACACAGTTCACGTTTACGACACTCTCGTATTTCTGAACTCTGAATGGGATATGGTCTTTCCCAATCCCTACCCAAGCCAGCTAAACCATGTCAGGGGCAGTTACCCAACCAGCACAGTATTCAGCCCCTTTTCCTTTGGTGTACAGGTTATAATAGAGAGTTTGTGACTTTTTGATGCTCTACAAATGAGTATGCTGATCTCGAGGCACTTCCTGCCCTAAGCCTGGAGTAGCCAGCAGATCGTTGTATGGCTAGGGCAGGAGGGAAGAGCTGAGCAATAGCTTACTTGGAAAACAGCTCCTGCTGTTTCTTCCTGCTTCTGCAGCAGGTCATTGGAATAAGAGGGTGTGTAATGCTGGAGGGAAACAAGCTGCTGTACCAGTCCTGAGAGGAAGGCTGTCTACCCCACCAGGCAAGGAAGATTGTTACAGGCACAGCAAGAGTAGAAAAATGGCTGAGCTTGGCAAGGGCTGCCCTCAAATGCATGGCACTACAGCATCATTGAATAAACTATGCTCTAGCTCCTCTGGACCTGTTTAAAACAGAAATAAAACTAGACTTGTTCTCTTTTGATTTGGTTTGCAGCCCTAGTAGGAAGGGCCTGTTCAGTGGTGTCTTTCCCACTTGTTCCCTTATAAGTGAGAAGACTGGGAGGTTCAGCAGAATATGTATTTGATATGAATCCGCATGAGTCCTGTGTAGTTAGTACCATTCAGGAGTTGCCATCCCTGTAGACACTAACAAGAATCCTCCAAGTTTCTACACCCTGCTAGGCTGCACCCCACTAGGCTGCAGAACCCCGGTGGCTTTTTGCAGCTGGAATCCAATTAATCCCAGGGAGGGACCGTTGCACTGGTCCCTGCCTTAATGTTGCCTGTTGCAGTCATAGGATGGGTAATATGAGCTCCTCCCAACAACTAGGCTGCTGATATATAAATATAATCATTACTTTAGCTACTCCTTGTGCCCATTTCTGCTATCTACAGGGCAGAGGTGATAAAGGGATTCTCTTATTCATAGGTAAGTGTCCTCTCAGGGGACAGCCAAGGCATGGTGTGAGGAGCCTTCTCTGCTGATCCTCAAACCAGGCTTGTGCTGTGCTTGACATGCCTGGACTTCTAACCAGTGACTCTGGAACCAGCCAGCTAGGTCCTGACTGAGAGTTTAAATGAGATCAAAGTCAACTACTGTTACAATCTGCAGTTCCCAGGGCCTTGCTTTCCACTTCATGTGGATGGGCATGGTTATGCCACCTCCTGCCTGCTTAAGTAGTGTCAGACCTCTAGGTATTCCTCCAATCATTTGCAGCTGGTAACAGGGCCAGAGGTAGAGGCATAACTAGCAATTCTGGCACCCTGGGTAAAGATGCTGGAGAGCACCATTCAGCTGCCCCTTCTAAATTGGCATCTGTGGCTGGTGTTCATCTTACCCACCTGTAGTTATGCCTCTGGCCAGAGTTTATTTAAGTCATCCGTGTCTCCTAGGGGTTCTTCTAGGTGCTAACTTTTCAGTTCATCCCTTCTTGTGATCCAACGTTGTCAGACATGTCCATACCTCACTCTGAGAGGCTCTGAAACGGTGGCTGGCTGGCTGTTCCTCTCCCCCACCCCAGACAGCAAGGAGCCTCGTCTCTTGGAAAGCTAACTTTATTCACTCAGTAAAAAGATGCAATGACTGTTGCAGCCATTTGCACCTAAGGTGCATCAGGCATATGTAATAGGAGGAGTGAGGCTGGCATTTTCTGGCTTCTACTCTTCATGCTGCAAATAAAAAATAAAGAGGCTTAGTAGGACTTACCACTCCATTGTGGAGCCACATGGTCCTCTAAAGGCAGCTGCAGCACCCTCTAATGCCATCTTTCACAGCAGCCTTATGCTGCCTCTCTGCTCCAGCAGCTGCTCTTCCTGTGTTAGACCTGCTGTGGTCAGTCACTGCTGCTCAGTGAGAGCACTGGCTACCACCTGTGGTGCACCAGCCAGGAGAGGAGCATCACCCCATGGGAAATGGTACTAAAGCAGTATAGCCATGGGAACCCTCCTCTGCACTTGCTTCTCTTCCACCTGCCTGTCAGGCTTAGCTTTGTTTTGGGGCCTTGCATCTGGAGACTTACCTTCGATGTGATGACCACCTCCCTGCTGCGGGCACGCAGCTTGTTGACCTGTGTCTCAGCAATGTCAGCTCGCTCCTCTGCATCATCCAGTTCATGCTGTACCTTGCGGTATTTCACCAGGTTGGAATTAGCCTGCTGCTCCTATGAATGATGATCCAGGGAGGTAATGATGATCTGTCGCTGTGCATTTTCCCCATTGTGTTGCCAGCCACTCCCTCCCCTGCCCCAGGCAGCTCCTGCTGGGCATGTCTGCACATCTCACTGAGGGAATTCTGCTCTGAACACAGCATTGCTGGAGGCACTGAAATCCCAGTTCCTGTACAAATGGAGCTTGGGCAGTGATGTACCAGCTGGTACCAAGTACCAGCTTCCTCAGCCTGACCTACTGATGTGTCTTGTGCCTGAGAGGCAAGGAGCCCCCTCAGCCTCAGCAGGACAGGAGACCCTGTGGCTGATTTTAGAGCACAAAGCTGTTGCTATAGAGGACTCCCACAGCCCTGGGCTGAGCCTGGTAGACATCCATTATTACATTCCTGGTGCCTTCCCCAGGCAAGTCAGAGCTGTGACTGGACAGTTTCCAGCTTCCTGCTCCAGAGGAACATGTGGTGAGTGTCTTCTGCTTTGGGTAGCAGGTTCCCTCATCTGTTGAGGCTTGGTGGGGTTGTAGGAGCAGCACTTACTGCTTCCTCATACTGCCGCTTGTAGCTCTTGACTTTGGTCTGCAGTTTGTCAATCAGGTCCTGCATCCGGGCCAGGTTCTTTCTGTCCTCCTCAGTCTGAAAGGTGCCAGCCAGAGCCATTTGTGAAATGCCAGTCCCCACCTGCAGCCTCCCACCCCTCCCCCTGGGCTTCTTTCTCCCTTACACTCTTTCCAGGGCAGCCCAAGGCCCTTTGGGTACCTTTGCACAAAGCAAATCTGTCCCCTCAGTCATCTTTCTTTCCCACCAACCTCCCATGTGGCACAGAGCACTTTGGTGACCCTTCCCTCTCCCCAGCACACGCGCACACATTCAGGAGGTTTTGTCTCTTTCCATTTGTTCTGACCAGGAATCCTGGTTTTCCGTTTCCCATGGAAAAATGGAGTAAAAGGTGGATTTCCCCTTTTACTGTGGAGGAAAATGCAGATTTCTCATTTTAGTGGAGATACCTGTGGATTTTGAAGTTTTGCAGAGTTCCAGCCTGCAAAGGGCTGGGAGGGAGCCGGAGGAGGGCGGTCAGACAAGGGGGTCCATGTGTCTGTGTATGTACATGGCTGCCAGGCAGCTTGAAGAGCAGCTCCAGTAGGTAAGAAGGGCCCCCATAGGGAGGGAGGGAGGGAGTTGGGTAGGGCTGGGGCTGCTGCCCAGCCAGGTTGTGTGTAGGGCTTGGGACCTGGGGCTGCAGTGCTGGGAGAGAGCTGAGCTCTGCTTCCCTGCAGCAGTCACTGCCTCCTGCCCCCAGCTGCAGACCTGGGTACTTGGCAGCTAGGGGGCCCCTCTGGCAGGGCAGGTGGGGCAGAGGCTGTGGGTGGGGGGGAAGGGCCACCAGCAAAGCTGGGGGGCTGTGGGAGGGGGGGATAAGGGGCACGAGCAGGGCTGTAGCTGGCCTATCATTTTAATCATTAATTTGGGGGGTTTTATCAGAGAAATAGTGATTTTTTTTTTTTTAATCAAGGAAAACCAGGATCCCTGGTTCTGACTGCTCATGCTCATCCTGCTTCCCCAAGGCAGCTGAGGCCAGAAGCGCTTTTAAGCAACAGAAGAGACCTTTTTTTTTTTTTTAAAGGAATTTTTCATGTTCCAAGCCAAACCAAGTCCAAATCTATGAGTTAGTCCAGAACCATAAGTGGTCCTATAACCAGCAAATATCCTCCACCCTCACCAGGGACTTCAGATATTTCCAATGTCTTTTGGCAGGCATCCTACATGCAGGCCCAAGCCTGGAGGCTTGGAGTTCGGATGCCCCCAAGTTTTGCCTGCCCTCAGCCATGTGGCTGCCAGGAGCAAGCTAGGGAGGAGCCTCCCATTTCCATAAGCTTTAAGCCCCAACACCTCAGCAGGTACTAAACCACGCCAGAAGAACAGTTATTCCCCCGGCTCTTAAGAAAAACTGCTTTCATGGACCCAGATACATGGCGTTTCCCCTGAGAACAGGGCAGGGAAGGATCCCAGAGTTGCTCTGGCTTATCAGAGAGTCCTGCAGCCTCTGCCTGTGTCTGCCCCACCTAGCAGCAGCCAGCACAGAAGGCTGAGCATGTGCAGTGCTAGCAGGCTGTGGGGTGACTCCCTGGGGAGTCCTGTAGGCTCAGAGCTGGGCACTAGCATACCTGGTAGGTCAGCTCCTTGATCCTCCTCTCATACTTGCGGATGCCTTTCTGGGCCTCAGCTGTCTTCTTCTGCTCAATGTCCAGCTCCCCCTCCAGCTCCCTCACCTGCAGGCACCAAGCAGCCACAATGTCACCACTCCCCTCACTTCCCAGCACTTCTTCACCTATTCCCTTAGAGAGTTCTCCCTGGTTTCCTCCAGAGCCTGGCTAAATCTCTAACACCACCTCATTCAGAGCTGGGATGCTCTAGTCCCTGTGCCCTCCAGTCCATGATGCCCTGTCCCAGCAAATGGAGACCTGCTAGGTGAATGGCTGGGCTTCTCTACCATGTCCTGGGTGTGGAAATGTGAAAGGATAAAAGGAACCAAGACCAGGCTCCGGGTTGGCCTCCTTGATGGAGGCAGTGGAGCATCTCCTCCATGCTGTCTGGTACAGCCTGATACACACCAGGCTGAGTCAGCACCACCCTTACAGAGCTGCAGAGAAGAGATGCAGGAAGTGACTGGTGCATTCCTATACAGAGTCCTGCATCTTCTGGCCCCCTGAGGCTATGCATGGCTGAGGGTGCTGGGCACTGAGGATCTGTCCTTGGTCTGCAAAGGCCAACTTTGTACTGGTGTGAAGTGCACCATTTGGGAGTCAGTGCCCATTGCCAGGTGCAGGAGGGCTAAGGAGCTCTAAGGGAAACCTGGTGCCTGGGGATTTGCTTTGATCTTGTCTTGCTCCCTGCCTCCCCTGAGTCCTGTGACCAAGCAAGCAGCCATGCCACAGAGGGTGCTGTGAGAAGCTGGGTAGGAAGGGCACTGGCTGCAGACACAAAAGCAGTTGAAGCCTGTTCTACACAGCACTGGGTGGTCCCAGCACTCACTCTGGCCTCCAGCTTCTGGATCTGCTTCTTGCCTCCTTTGAGGGCAATCTGCTCAGCCTCATCTAGGCGCATCTGCAGGTCCTTGATGGTCTGTTCCATGTTCTTCTTCATCCGCTCCAGGTGGGCACTTGTGTCCTGCTCCTTCTTCAGTTCCTCTGCCATCATGGCTGCCTGCAGGTACCCAATGGCTCTGTCACTGCTGCACAAAGCTTTCAGGCTCCCAGGCCTTCCCTGCCAGACCCCTTTAGGCTCAGGTAACCCCCCATATTGATTCCCTCCACTCGCAACCTACCTCCCACATATAGCTTCAGTTTGCCTAGAATTGTTCATTTCAGCCCCCAGCTGAGGAGCTACAACACTGTTTTCCCACACCCTGACCCACTGTTAGGTTTTGTCAGCCACCCTGGAGGGCAAAGCAAGTCCTGGTACAACAGAAACTGGTAATTCGTGCCCCTCTCCACCGACATATTGAGGCTGTGCTATGCCCCAGGACTGGCCCTAGCCCTGCTGGGGGTGCTTAGTCAGCCTTCTCATGCACTCACATCTGTGATTGCTTTCTTGGCCTTCTCCTCTGCATTGCGACATTCCTGCACAGCCTCTTCCACCTCTGTGGTCAGTTGGGCAATGTCTGCCTCCATCTTCTTCTTCTGGTTAATCAGGCCTGTGTTCTGAGCACAGAGACAGGGCAGTGTTACCTCTGCAGGCACAAGCTTTTCTTTCACACAGGGGTGCTCTATTCACTCAGAGGCTCGTCATGCAGTTGGACTGTTCTCAGTGGGGATGGGGTATTTGCATGGGACCAGAGTGCAGGGATAGCCTGTTTGCATGGGGATGGGTTGTGGGGCCAGGCTGTTCACATGTGGCCCAGGGCTTTGGGATCTAGAGTGTGCTAGGAAGCGAGAGCACTCCCTGTTCACTGCACTCCACTAAGACAGTCTACTTTCAGGGCTGTGCACCACTGCTGCTGACCAACAAAGCAGCACGTAGATTTCAAGGCCAGAATGAACCACTGTGGTGTGCTGAACCATGCTTCTGCATAGCCCATGCCATAGGATGTGCCTGCATTAATTCTGTGGGAATGAGCTGGTCTTCTAGCCCAGTCCCCAAACCTGGGCGATGGGCTGAGACTCACGGCACAGGTGAGGTGCACAGCAGCTGCTGTCTGCCAGCCCCCTCCCCAACAAAGGCCTGCATGAGCTGGGCTCACCTGTGAGTGAAGCAGATTCACTCTTTCAGTAGCCTCCAACAGTTCCTGCTCAGCTAGCTTCCTGCCCCGCTCAGCTTGCTCCAGTGCTGCCCGCAGCTCCTCCACCTCTGCCAGCAGCAGGTTGTTGCGCCTCTCTAGGGCTGCTGCCTGCTCCTTGAGGTCATCATTATGGCGCATGGTGTCATCCAGCTCAATTTGCAGGTCCTGCCAATGACATCCATGCAGCAGGGTCAAGAGGATCAAAGGAAACAGACACCTTCCCATCCTCCCAGCGGGGGCCAGAGGATAGGCAGGACATGTCACACACCAAGGGATCAGGATCACTATGTGATCCTGAAAAGACAGCCAGCTGCTGGCCAGGCATCAGGCAGGACCAGGAGCCAGATGGTGCACCAGCCATTGCTGCCTTTGCCTTCAGGCTGACTGAGTGAACACAGGATCAAGACAGCATCTGGGAATGGCACTGAGCCCCCTGAGCTGGCCCACAGCAGTAGCCAGGCAATCCTTATCCCTCAGGCAGGGGTCAGGACTGACTTTGATTTGAGACTGGAGCTGCCGAACCATCTTCTGGGCCTCAGCAGCCTGGCGGTTGGCGTGGCTCAGCTGTATCTCCATCTCATTCAAGTCTCCCTCCATCTTCTTCCTCAGCCTGATGGCTTCATTCCTAGCTTTAGCCTCTGCATCCAGCGTGGCCTGCATGGAATCCATGGCACGCTGGTGGTTGCGCCTGGGAGGGAAGGGAGTTGGAAGAAAGTGATTAATCCTCCTGTAGTACTGAGACTGTGGCTTTTGCACTGCAGTTATGCATTTGCTCTAGTTCTCCTGGTATCCCTGTCTCAAGATTGCAGGGCAGCCTTGCTGATACCAGCCCACAGAAAAGTGAGGTGTGGGCATTGTAGACACAGCCTGCTCCTGGCTTGGGGCTTGGACCCTACCTCAGGTTCTCAAATTCCTCATCCTTCTCTGCTAGTTTCCTGTCCACATCAGCCTTGACCTGGTTCAACTCCAGCTGGATTCTCAGGGTCTTGCTCTCTTCATGTTCCAGTGCCCCCTAGAGACAACAGCAGACATGGCATTAGTATGGTGACAGCATTTATGGCTCTCCCAGCTAGCTGTTTGCACTCCTTGCAAATGTGGCATTATAGAGGACAAGGACAATATATCTTTCCTGCCAGGGCCAGGCAGTCCTAGCCTTGCCATGCTCTCCAGCCTGAACATGCTGGGTTTTTTTGGAGAGGTTGGGGAAGTCAGAGCTGGAGCACCAAGGGGGGAGGGACAGAATGGCAGAAACGGGGGACCCACCTGAGCCCAATGCCTGGGGCACAGTCCACACATGAGGAAACTACCACACTGCCAAAACTGAAACCTTCATGTTGCAAGCACTTGTCCATTAATAAAAATTGTTGTAAAATGCAACCTAAATGAGATGTTCACAAAGGAGCTTTCACTATAGCCCTACAGGGCCAAGGGGAAACTAAGCCAAGTGCCCTACTCTAGCTCACAAGACACTGGTGCTGGAGCTCACAGAGCCCAGGAATTCTGTGTCCCTACCGTCCCAGAATCCAGAGGGTTGTTGTGCTGCTGGTAGCATACAGAAGGTGACTAGTGGCTGCCCAAGGGCCATCTACAACTGGAGCCTTGAAGTGACAAGTGTTAAAGGGGAAGCAGTAATTGAGCTGGAGGGGTCATGTGGGTTTTTGATGGAGCAGTAACCCTTGAGCAAGAGCTAACACCCTCATACTGATAACCCCAAGGTGCAAAGAGGAGGGGCTGCTCATGCCTCTTGCAGAGGGCATTTGAATTGACTGGGATGGGTACTGGGCATGTGAGCGATATCACCCCTCCTCACAGCAGCAACAGGGCATTTCCTCTTGGCTCTGAGCTCACCTCAGCCTCCTCCAGGGCAGCCTGGATCTCACTCTTCTCACACTCCAGGGTCTTTTTCAGCTTCTCCAGCTCATGGATCGTCTTGCCACTCATGCTGATCTGGTCTGTCAAGTCAGCAATCTCCTCTGTGCCAGATCAGAAAGACCTTAGGTTATGAGTGTGTTGCAGGGGCCTGAGCTTTCCTGCAATCCCTCAGAGAAATGGTCAAAGCAAGCAAACAGCTCTGAGCCTAACTCTTTCATCCTGAGCCTGCTTCACAGCCTGGCAGCTGTCCAGGGAGCACCTCTGCTGCCCTAGACACATGCTGGAAGTGACTTTGAAACCTGCATTCAGATCTCCCCCATCCCTTCAGTACTCAGCTGCTGGCCTGTGTCCTCAAATGGGATACCTGGGCACTGGCAGCTGAGCTCTGTTATGGTGTCATAGAAGCTAGACTACTTTTGCTGCACTCTGCATGCTGTTCTGACTGCCCTCCCACTTGTCCCCTGAGGTCAGACTAGAGGCTGGGTGGGAGGGCATTGGTGACAGGAGCAGGTGTGCAGAGCCAGGCTGGCCAAGGTGTGTTCCTGACACCCAGGTAGTATAAATATGGGCAGCCTCACACATTGCCCCAGACCTCACCTCAACTGTACAATACCCTTGTTCTCCCTTTGAGGCAAAATATCCATTAGAAAAACAAATAAGTTTTGAAATAGCAGCAAGGTTCAACCCTGCCTGGACCTTCATGACTGCAATGGGGTGAACACTGCCCCACCTTGGAAAAAAAACACACCCACTCCAAGGAGGAGGAAGAGATAAGTCCCTGTCTTAAGGCCGGTGACTGTTCCTGGAGTTGGGGACATCGAAGTGCTGCTAGGTTCTGTGCCTAACCCTGTGAGAAAGAGGGGCACGAGCCTCAAAATACTGTTCAGGCATGTGTCAGATCCTGTGTACCTTGCAGGTTTTTGTTCTCTCGTTTGAGGGTCTCCAGGTTGTCCAGGGACTCCTCGTAGGCATTCTTGAGCTTGAAGAGTTCAGTGCTCAGGCTACGAGACTCTTTCTGTGAGGCCTCCAGCTCTGCCTGGGTCTCTTCATACTTCTGTTTCCACTCAGCAATGATCCTGTCAAAGTTGCGCTGCTTTTTGTCCAGGGCAGCAGCTGCAGAGTTGGCTCTCTCCAAGTCAATGGACAGATCCTCGATCTCCGTCTGCAGCCGGTGCTTAGTTTTCTCTAGGGAGGAGCACTTGGCGTGTGCAGCCTCCACAGCCTCCTCTGCCTCCTGCAGCCTGATGGCCAGCTTCTTCCTACCCAGAGCAATCAGGGCATAAGCCACAGGTGGACATCCCAGCCCAACCCCTTTCACCACCCCATCAGCCTGGGTCTTCAAAGGGGACAAGGTTTGACTAGAAAAGGCAGACCTTTACCTAATTTAATCAACACAGGCCTGATCTGAGGGCCCTTTTGAGTCAGTCAATGATTTCTGTGAATTTTGTCCTGCCCCTGGAAGGAATGAAGGCCACAGCAGGCCTGAACACTGCTCCCTACTTGGTGGAAGAGCTTGCCCCAGTATAAGCCCTTTAGGTACACAAGTGGAGGTATGTGTTGGCTAATAGATCTAGATCCAGGCCCTTCCCTCAGCAACACTACAGACAGCCAGTGAAAGATAGAAACCCCTCACAAGCAGAGTGCTGGGTTTCATTACACATGTTGCCTTGGCCAGATCATTGGCATTTTCTGGCAATAGGAAGCAATTCTGTATGTGTGATTACAGAGCCCTCAGTGACTACAGGCCTGTACTAGAAAGTTGCTCATGTGGCCTCCCTGGAAAGAGGTTGGGGCACTAATTTCAAGTGTGTGAACTTTGCAGGAACTCACTTCGCCTCCTCTAGTTCTTCTGTCCTTTGAATGGCATCCGTCTCATACTTGGTTCTCCACTGGGCCACCTCAGCATTGGCCTTTGACAGGGACCTCTGGAGCTCACTCTTGGCTTCTACCTCTTCCTCATACTGTTCCCGCAGGAGGTCACAGTCATGGCGAGATGCTTGCAGGGCATGCGCTAAGGCATTTTTGGACTAGAAAGCAGAAAATGTGAGAAGAGAGACTGACATCAAACTCCCCAAGGCCCTCATAGCCCACAGGCAGGGTGTTAGTGTTAGGTCTTGCCCAGTCATGTGCAAAGGCAGGGCTCCATGCTTGCAAAGACTCCAGGGTCTGCATCTCATTTATTACAGTGAGTTTAGAAGTGGTTAAAGCCAGACTGACTGTCTGGATGACTGCTGAGTTTTGTGCCAGAGCATGTCTTGCACTGCCCATGTAGGAACATAGACCTATCCTGGAGGAGCAATCCCATGGCAGAAGAAAGAATTTGGTATCCATTGTGGAGGTGCCTGGAAGTACAGGGAGGCAAAAGCACATGCACCAAATCAGTCCATATATTGACCCAAACATCAACCATTGAATTGTAGTTGTTGGTCATGACTGACTGGGCTAGGTCCAGATCTTAATGGAAGTAACATGCCCTGTTCTCAATTCCATAGCTATCCCTTGCACAGCCACATTTCAGGACACACTTTCCCCTGTTCAGAGCACTAGCCTCAGCCCTCACCACTGCTTGGGTAGACTGTGGTCATGTGAGCACAGGTGCAGCATGGGGCTGCGATACCAGTGACCAAACGATCAGAAAGAGGCTGCTTGGCTATTTTCCATCAGAGGCTCAGATGCAAGTTCTCATTGCTGGGCCATTTGTTTCTACCCAGGTTCTTACACTGTCAGCCAGCCTCCTGCCTGAGAGAGGCCCTGGGGGATCAAACAACACCTAGTTGACCTTACCTTGGTCTCTTCTTCTAGCTGCCTCTTGAGCTCCTCAATCATCTGTGTAAATGAGGTCTTCCCACGGGTCAACTGGTTGATAAAAGACTCCTTTTCCTCCAGGAGCCGGCTCAGCTCCCCTGGGGGCAAACAAAACCAAACAGTCACAATGAGGATGGAGACATGGAAACCATGCAAAGCCATTTTGTTGCAGATTTCATGCTCTTCACCTTCCTGGGGCCCAAATCAGAAAGACAGAACTGACCCAGCATGTCAAGAGTCCCTAGGAAGGAGTTTTGATATGGAGCTCTTGCTCATATCCATCCCATGGCACTAGGCCCAAGCTCATCGCTGAACCTCCTCAGAGCTGGAGGGGCTGGACTTGTTGTCCTGGCTATGGTCCACTGCTAGCCCAGATTCAACTGAAATGGACTTTATGTTGTGTTTCTTATTTTCTGCAGATGGCAAATGTTTTACACAGCAGCGAGTCCCCTACTCAGCCATGCTGCAGTGGACAAAACTAGTTTGGGCTCCAAGACTATCCTTGTGCAACCTGGATAGTAGAACCCCATTCGCTGTGGAGATGCTGGCCATGACATGGAGGCTCTTGGCATTTGCCAAATTGCCAGCAGGGAGGCTGGTTTGACATTACTGCTAAGGGACATGCTCTGACACAGCCAGCCTCAGAAGACCTTTACTTCATAGACAACTGTGTGGAACATGCTACTAGTCCCAGCAGAGTCAGCACCATGGAACCATGGGACCCAACAGCAACAGCTGCATCTCTGGAAGTAGAGGACAGACTATGTCATCTGGTAGCTCCCTGCTATTAAAACCTGAGACCTTGGCACACTCCATAGTCCAGGGTAAAGTTGATAATAATGACACTATCCTGCTCTCTTTTCTTCAGAACACATTGGTTGGCCTGTCATTGTGGCCATTAGGAAGTCTCGGTGAGCTAAGGAGAACCAGGGCATCCAGCCTATACATTGCACAGCTAGGATGGGAAGGGGATGCCTCATAATTAACCAGTGTGACAGTCAGGTGTGTTCTGCTGCTAGCAACATGCCTGTCACTTGAAGAAAGGACTTAATCTCTGGACAGCAGAACATATTCCAAAGTCAGTGATGTTAATCCTGTGGTTTAGGGAGATCAATTGTAGGGTGCCTCTGTCGGCTGCTCCCTGAGCTTGGCAGCATCATTCTTAACCTACCACTCTCTGTCTGCAGCCTGGCTCGCTGGGTGCTCACGTCAGCCAGCTGCCGCTGCAGCTCATCCACTTTGGACTTGGCTTCATTCAGCTGATCCTCGTAGGTTCGGCACAGCTTTTCAGCATTTGCCTACAGTGATCAAGTGAGTCCGGCATCAGACCCTTGTCCCATACAAACAGAACTCTGTACTCTGCTCAATGGGCCTGTGAGGGAGCTGTCCCCCTTCCTACCCCTGGCACTCACCTGGCTCTAACTAGGAGTCTCCATTGTCCTAACCCTAGGGGGTGCACAGCCTGTAGACAGGATTCCCATTCAGTCCCCGCTGGCTCATACAACATAAATTCTCTTGTGTCCCTCTCACTAGAATAATAGGCCCTACAAATGGGTAGCCTCTGAGAAAGAAACCAGGGCTTCCCAGAACTTCCAACTGTAGTATTTTCAGAGCACTACACAAACACTGGCTGCCATGGGCTGGGTGTGTAATACTATCTCGGTGTACAAAAAAGAAAGGTGACAGAAGTTAGTGATTTGGTCAAGGGACACATCAGAGCTGGGCTTAGATCTCTAGACTCTGGCTGAGCCACTCAAGCTACAAGCTGCAGAACAAGAGCTCAGAGTCTATCTGGGCCACCAGCTACTACCGGCCAACATAAATGCCTATGCTTAGACAGGTCCAGCCCCACTGTACTGAGGGCAGTGCCCACAAATGAAGTCCTACCCACCCCTCACCTTGTTCTTGGTGAGGTATTCAATGTTGGAGGATAGGTCATCCACTTCCATCTTCATCTCACTCTTCTCTTTCTCCAGCTTCTGCTTGACTCGTTGAAGGTTGTCGATCTGCTCACTCAGCTCAGCTACCGAGTCAGCATGCTTCTTGCGCAGGGCTGCAGCTGTTGATTCATGCTGCAGTGTTGCCTCCTCCAGGTCCCGGCGCAGCTTCAGGAACTCAGCCTCCCGCTTCTTATTCATTTCCAGCTGGATGGCTGTGGCACCACCAGCCTCCTCCAGCCGCTCACTCAGCTCCTCCAACTCTCGGGCCACTTCTGCACGCTGCTTCTCTACCTTGGCTCTGGCAGCTCTCTCAGCCTCCAGCTCCTCCTCCAACTCCTCAATACGGGCCTACAGGGTAGGCAGGACATGGTAGGTGCTATGGGGACTAGGCAAAGCACCTTTGCTATCCAAAACTCAGCAAGAACCTCTCTGATGCTGTCCAGGAACAAGCCACCACACTGGGAAATGCCTCAAGTGCCTCTATAACTCGGAGGTGCCCTGAGGTGCTCTGCCCCCAGGACCCTAGGGTCAGAGATAACTCCCCAGTGCAGGCTTCCTAAAATGCTGCCCCTGCTGAGCACTGAGTGGAAGTGCTAACAAAAGCATGCCTAGAACTGTTTGACACTTGGGTCTGAACCACACCTTTGGGGTCCAGGTACAAATCTGGCCTCAATCCTCTGTCTTGCCCCCAAAGTTCAAGACGGTTAAAGTCTGGAGTTCTGGTTGAGCCCTTTGTTAAAAAGGAGCACAGTTTATGAAACCTTCATCTGCAAAGTCCATCTGGGGGATGGAGTTGTGGATTTGGTTTGGGCAAAGAGCTCGATTCCAAGGGTGGAATCACAGCTGCAGGGACAGATGCTTGTGGTGATCTCATAATCATTTAATACTTTTCCTAAGATTTTGCCTGGGCTTCAGTTTGTGACATCAGCAGAGCACTGCTAGCTTTGCCCTTTCTATGCTCCTCCAGTGAGGAGGTACTGTGGACTCAACCAGGTCAGTGCCCAGAAGGCTGCTGCCTCTTACTCATGTTGTTAAACTAGCAACCCTCTCTTGTTTGGCAGTAATCAGGCACTACAAGGGGGTGCACTGTGAAGGAGTTGCTGTGCTACTGCAGCCTGGGAGACAGCAGCTGGCTCTGTTATATCTGCCGCTCACTCAACTGAACCAGAATTGAGACTCCAGGCAGAGCTTTGTTCCAGCAGCCTTCAGCTAAGTGAGAGAGACGTGGGTGAGAGAGAGATGGGCGAGAGATGTGGGTACAAGCTTGTACTCATTTAGAGGAAGGAATGACCTAACACTTCTCCAGTCAGAGGAGAGAGAAGACCCAAGCAGGTGGGTGGTATGACCCTCATCCTCCAGGCACCACATGCTTGTTCATCTGGCAGGCATGGGACATAAGCCCAACCTGTGTCAGCACCAAACCAGCCCCCTGGGCTCCTCCAGGACCTCCCTGCCTGTGCTACCTGGACACCTCTCTCCAATTTACCTGGAGCTCTTTGATTTTCTTTTGCAGCTGTGCCTCAAGCACCTGCTGATCTTCAATCCTGGAGTTTAACTGGTTCATTTCAAAGTCCTTCCTGCACGGGAAGAGGAAGAGTCCTGTAACTTGGCAGACACAAGACAGCAAAAACCTGCCAGCCCCCTTCTAGTATGTTGACCAGGACCAGTGCAGGACTGTTCTCACAGTCAAGGTACTAGTGTTTGATCCTGGATCAAAGCATGAAGGAACCTACATATACAAAGAAACTCTGGGCCGGAACAGCAGCTCCCAGGCAGGCTTTGTTTCCAGCCCCCTGGGCAATGTCCCTGCTATGGTGCTGCGGAGGTTGTTGATGTGTTAAGTAAATGAAAGAGGGTCAGGAGCTAACCCATTCCACAGGTGTGTCCTGATCAGTCAGGAGGTGGAAGTTGGTGGAAGTTGATGCCAATATGCCTGCTGCTGGTGGCATTAGCAGCAACCAGGAACATGAGGTCTAGCGCTGCACTGAAGTTTTCTCTCTTTGCTTCCTGAGTGTTCTTCTGCAGCCTCCAAAGCCCTACTGGTACATTAAAGAGAAAACCTGATCGTGTAGGTCAGGTTCTGAACCTGTGTTCAGGCTACATGATTCAGTTTCCAGCTCTGCCCCAGGTTCCCTGCACACATACTGGGCTTCATCTCCCATGTGAAAATGTGTCCTGACAAGTACAGAGCACAGGCCCCTAGCACCTGAGAGTGACCCACTCATGACAAGGTGGGCAGGGGGGGAAGACAGTGGCATCTGCTGGGACTGGCTGGTGGGCATTGCCCCAGGCTGCACACTTACTTTTTGAGTTTCTCTTCCAGTTGTTGCTTATCATTTTCCAAATCCATCACTGACTCCTGTGTCAGCTTCAGGTCCCCTTCCAGCTTGCGCTTTGCTCGTTCCAGGTCCATCCTTATCTTCTTCTCTTGTTCAAGAGAACTTTCCAACTAGAAGTTAAGGAAGGTGAGTTAGCCAGGAAAGCACCTTCCCTCCTCCTCGCTTGGCATTTCCTTTCTCTCCCCATCCTTCCTGTCCCCTGTAGTGGGGATTTCCTTTCCATTGTTGTGGGAATTCTAGCATTGCCAGTAGAGGGTATTTTCCCCACCCCCTCTGCATTGGACTGCTTCTCCACTAAAGTATCCAGGCCTTTGACCCTGCAGTATGGCTGTAACTGCATCAGGGCAGACAGTCCTTTGCATTCCATACTAGCACTGGACCCTTGCTGGGGCTGCAGATTGATCCATCAGCCCTGCACTAAGGCATGAGATCATCCATAAGGCCCACAGGGTATTAGTGCTTCAGGGAGCTGTTCCTGGGCACAAAGTGGATGCCCATCACTGTCACTATTCTTTGCCTCCATGTTTTACTCACATCATCCACTTGCTGCTCCAGTTTGACTTTGGCCTTGGTCAGGGTGTTGACCTTGTCCTCCTCGGCCTGCAGATCATCTAGGGCCTGTTGATGTGCCTCTTGCAGTGCTTTCTTCTCTTTGGTAAGCTTGGCAATGACCTCATCTAGAGCAGCCATTTCTTCAATCAGGTTTTTAACCTAGGCAGACAGAACAAAAAGTGAGCTCAGCTCCTCCAGGGGGTTGGGGTTGTGGGGCAGTGAGGAACAGCCAAGGTAATATTTGGTTGGACACCAGAACGGACTAACACCATCATGTCCATCTCCACCCCACCCCTGCCCCTACCTCAGAACCATTTCTGCTTGTGGAAGTGTTTACTTTGCTCTCTCCTTGGCCCAGACTATTTAGCTGTTACATGACGCAAAATAAATGGCAGGTTTTTTTAGACCGAAAAACACAGTATTATCCCCAGATTTGCTTACTGATACCAAGAATGCACAGTGTTCTGGGACAATGGAAATTTTTGCTGTTCCTGATGCTATCTTCCCCAGGGACCAGCTGTATTTCACCCACCTTTATCTAAGGCAGCCTCATCTCTCACACTTTATGAATGTCCAAGATCCCTGGACATCCACAGAAGGATCCCTGCTCTCAGTTGAATCAGTGGGTGTGGGTTCACTGCATGCTCCCAGTAAATGGCAGCAGCATTTGTCCCTTTCACCAACAGTACTAGTTACCTTGTTCTCCGTGGCATGCTTCTCCTTCTCCACCTTTGCCAGTGTGATTTCTAGGTCATCAATGTCCTTTTTCAATTCAGCACATTCATCTTCCAGCTTGCGTTTCTTGGAGGTCAGGTCTGAATTTATCTCCTCTTCATCCTCCACACGCTCTGTCAGCTCCTTCACTTTAGCCTCTAGCTGTATCTTGGCTTTGATCAGCAGGTCACAGCGCTCTTCTGCATCGGCCAGGTTGTCTTGCTCCTGTAAGTGTGCACAAGGAAACACATGCTTACCATCTCTCCAGGAGAGGAGAGACACCCCTACCCCCTTGTTTTCTTGGACTCTGGAGGCTGATGCACCTGCTTGTTACTTAATGTGGGGAGTAAACCCAAACCGGTCAGGTCATGTGGAAGGAACTGTTTCTCACGGGTGCCTTCTCACCCTCTCTCTACCAATCCCCAAGGAAGCAGGATAAATAGAATGCTAATAAGGGACAATCTGTCCCTTCTCCTCCAGCTATTACTTCATGTGGTGGGAGATGATTAACAGATACACCCCAGAGACCAAACATTATTGGAGTAGTGTTGATCAGAAGGCAGTTAAGCTTTCCACCCAATTGCCCAAACCTGGGGGAACTGTGGAGCCTGGGCATTCCTCTGTCTCTCCACTGACACAAGGGTGTCGGTTGTAGAAGTGTTTGTGAACCCGGAACCGATGGCAGAGACCCCTGAACTGGGATAACTTCACTCAATCCAGTGGAGAAAGAATCATGGGTAAAGGTTTACTGGTGTAAGTTACACTGGCTTAAGTTTTCTGTGCCAAAGGCAAACTGGCTATTACATGCTTCTATTGGTAAAGCATAGTAATAGTCACCTGTATGCTGCTAACCAGGGATAGATGCTGTAATACAGCCCTAACCTCATTACTAAGAGGGAGAGTCCTGACAAGGGATATGGTACCTTCAAACTTCAGACTGTGGAGGGGCTGCTGCCAGGTCCAGAGCTCTGGGAGAACCAGCCATCAGCCTCCAGGACACTGTGGGAGATGCTACCCAAGTTCTGCTTGAGGGTAGTGTCAGACAGCAGAACTGAGGGCCCTGCAGTCACCGAAGAGTTAAATTGGCAAGCTGCAAGGCCCTGACCCTAAGCAGTTTATTGAGGGAGACAGGAGTGCAGTGAAGAATAACAGCAGGCCTGTTAATTAGGCTAACCTAAGACTTTGACTGAAGCAGGACTTGATGTGCCCTGAGGAGCAGAAGCTTTACAGGACTGGTAAAGGCAAGCTCATGGACCTAGGAGGCAATGCAATCCAGTTCATAGGTCCTGATGGGAAGGAGCTACTGTGAGGGACTGCCTAAGGATAAGCTTCATATTTTATGTTGTGGACTGGTTTATAGTCTACAAGGCATGACTAGCTGAAGGGGAGGGGAGGAAGCCACTGAAGACACCCCACACAGAAGGGCTTTGATCACTATTGAATTGGCAGGCTGCCAGAGGCCCACAGAAATAGGAGTGGGCTATGAAAGGGTCAGCTAACTGTGACCAAAATACCTGAGAGCCTGTGCAAAGTCTGCAGGAGCCCAGAGAGCCAGTGCAGAGGTTGTAGGAGCCCTGGCGATGGTGCAGAGGGTGCAAGAGCCCTGAGAGACTGAGTAGGGGAGAAAAAAAGAGCCTGAGACATGCGCCAAGGAGAGGAGCCCAGTGAACAGTTCAGAATGCAGCAGGAGACTTAAAGCCACACCCGAGTTATTGGAAGGCAGTCTACCAAATGTTCCTAATAACGTCAAAGTTGTGGCAAACAAGTGACGGAAGCAACTGGTGGGGTGGACAAGGTGCTTAAACAGGTCTCAGTGTTTAAGCCACTAGGGGGCTCCAAATGACTTTGAAGAAACAGGCCTGTTACAATGCCCATATGTGTATTCCTAATCTCAGTGTAACTTACACCAGTATACAACACTGACATAAACCATGATAAGGTACAGTTGTATTTATCCAAAGCCTCACTCCTGTGTCCAGTGGCAATTCCTTGTCTGAGCCCTCTGCTATCCATGGTGCCAGAAAGACAGCAGTTCCCTGCTGAGAAAAGGCTCTTGCTCTTGGCCTATGTGGGTCATCTCTCAGGGAATGACTACACTGGTTTCTCCCCATGAAACTGCTTGCCCAGAGCCCACACCACTTCAGGAGGAGGAGATGCCTAGACAAGGCACTTACAGCCTGGAGCTGGAGAGCCAGGTCATTTTTCTCCTGAATCATGGTGACTTGTTTCTCTTCTAGCTCCTTCCTCTTAGCCTCTGACTTCTCCAAAGCCTCCTTCAGCTTCTGGAACTCCTCCTTCAGGGTGGCCATTTCCTTCTCAGTCTGAGCTGACCTGAGCAGGGGCTTGATCTTAAAGAAGAGCTTCATCCAGGACCAATTCTTAACAACATTGAAAGCACGGATGTTCCACTGGATGGTGTAGAGTGCATCCCTGGGGGAAAAGAGGAGCGTGCTCAGCCACACAGACATCTTGCCTATATCCCACCCTGAGGGGTCACAGAGAAAGGGTCCCACTTGCACCAACAAGCCCACCTAGGGGTAGGTTTTCACAGAGCTCAGTATATGTTGGGTGCAGATGTTGGGAGAATCTGGCCCTTGCTGCAGCTCAAAGGCAATCTGTAAGGGGGCTGACCTGGAGCTAGGAACCCAGGGGTCTGGGTTGCTAAGGAGTTGCCAGCCTGGGAGTTTGGGTTCCCCACCAGCCTGCCCAGAAATGTGGCAAGCAGCTGGATGGGTGAGCTGGTAGGAAACCAGGGTTTCATCAACACTTGATCAAAATTGGACTTTCTGTAAGAACCATCTCAGTTCTAGCAAATCTCAGATCTTAAGGAAACAACATTCCTTCAGACCAGCTCCATAATGGGTGTGTCTAACCAGCAGGGCATGGCAGAAGGTTTGTCATGGACTGCTGGGCAACAAAGGGTGAGTACTATTGCAGTCCATGCTGGCCCAGTAACTCTACCTCCTGCTGATGATCTTCTGATACTCAATACGCATCAGCCGCCCACGGATTCTGGCCTGCAGCATTGTTAGGATTTTGGCCAGCCGCTCATCTCGCATCTCCTCTAAATGGCCCAGCAAACCAGCTTTGAAAAATACCTGCAGGCAAGAGAACCAGAGAGGAGGCATTTAGGACCCAAAGAGACACAGAAACCCTTGGCTGTAAGCAATGGAGCATTACCAGCGGTTGAGCTCAGAAGACCTGTGTCAGGCTGTTACTGGCTCAAAACAGGTACCCAAGCACCTGTAAAGGGGTGTGACACAGAGTAGTTACTATATCCTCTCAATCCTGCACTGGGCTTCCCATGTCTCTGTGGCTGTGGCAGGCACTTGAGGTCTGCAGCAGTCTAGAGTTTCAGCTGATCTGGAGTTTCACCATTTCATCTTCTTGTAAGTTCATCTTATTGGAGCTACATAGACCAGGCCCAAAGCACTAGCTCACTGTAGCCCCTTCAGCAGCAGGTGGTCCCTGATTGTCAGGACAGGATATTGGGGTGTTCAGTGCCAGAAATGTGTGCTAAAATAAGGATGGGTTCCCAGGTAGAGGAAATCCACAATGGAATCTCCTCCCACCACCAGATGCCTCTCTTTCCCTGCAGCCTGCTTCATTGCCTTTCTTATACACCACCCTCAGCTGGTTTCAGCTTCCACACAGCAATCCACACCCTACCTCCTTCCTACAAGCAACCTAGCAGCTCCTATAGGAGCCAAGAAGAGGCAGGGAAGTGAGACATGCAGGAGGCCCTCTCCATGTCACTTGACACTACACAGAGAAGACAGGATTCACACCAAGAGCTCCAGAGGGGCTGAGTATCACTGGGCACATCTATACAAGATGTTATGTCACCATAGCAACAAGCTACAGTGATGTAGCTCATTGCTATGGCAATGTAGCATCGGCAGGCACTAACCATGATGCTGTTGCTACTGAACAGTAGCTCATTGCTACTGTGCAGTAGGGTCAGAGACAACCCATACTCCACCAGGACTGCACCGTACTGGTGGGTACTGCGCAGTGGGGAGAGAAGAGTAGAGAGAAGAGTGTAGAGAGAAGAGTGAGCTGGAGGTGGCAGAGGAAGATTGGCTCTGTTACTTTAACCCCCTGGCAGAGGACTGTCCTGCCTAATTTTCCTCACTCCTACAGCTTCTTCTTTAGCTCAGTGCTTCCTTCCCCTGTTACTGCTCAGGCCTCTCTCACCTTAGTGTGACCAAATTTGAACTGTGTGTGATCCAGATCCAAGGAGCTCAGCAGTTTCTCTGTGGCCTTTCTGCTGTCCACAAACTTGTCATCAGGAATAGCAGCAGGATTCAGGATACGATAGCTGCAGAAATATACAAAGGGGGTAGCGTGTGAGGGAAGCCCTTGTTCTGGAGCTGCCAGTTCCTCCCTTTCCTTGTGTAGCGTTACCAACCTAAAAAACAGGCCTCTGCACCACATGGTATGGCCACTCTGGACCCAGAGAGCACTGGGGCACCATGAGGCTGCCCAGCAGGCCCTGCCCATTCACAACTAGGGCCTCAAAAAGCTGGCACTGTAGGAACAAACAGCAAGTGGGCTCCACACAGTAAGGAGTCAGGTCCAGCTCAAGGGGGTGGAAGACTGTGCCTGAGGTTTGGATGAGGCTTACTCAGATGCAGCAAGGGCAGATGAACAGGAAAAGAATTCAGAGCCATGCTCTGTGTACCTGACATGGTGGGTCTGGGCCTCATTCTGTCTGGAGTGAGAACTGACACTGTCAGCCCCAAATGTAGACTCTTGGTCTCTATGCCCCTTGTCCTGAATGTCACCCTGTGGATGGCACACAGGGCCCTGCTGTATGCCCATTCACTGTGTCCCATCAGCAAATTCTGAGGCATATCCCAGGTCAATGCACCAAAGGTCCAGCCACAGAGCATGCTGGGAACAGCACATGCTGGGATGTCCTACTGTGGTTTTTGGCTGAACCAGCACATTTTGGGAGAAGAACATGGAAATAATCTGTTCCCTGCCCCCACAAATGCCAAAAATGGCAGGGGGAAGTACCGTTGCTTGAAATCAGCATAGAGGATCCTGTTTGGGAATCCTTTGCGGCAAATCCGAATGCCCTCCAGCACACCATTACACCGCAGTTGGTGCAGCACCAGGAAGGGGTCCATGGCTCCTGCAGGAAAGAGAAGGCAAGGGATTGATGCAGGCCCAAGACAAACCCCAAAATGTATAGGGTTGGCATGTCAACAGCTGAACCTTGATTTTGATCTGAAGCTTGTAAATGTCTTCTGTTTGAAATAAGGTCTTACCCAGCCCTCTGGCCCAGGGCTAAAATCCCTGTACTGTGGCTTGGGTACCTCCCTATGGCTTGGGAGGTGGAATGTGCTACCTGGGACTCATTTATGTCCCATGACAGAACAAAGGCTCAGAGAACTGGAACATGGCTTGACTTCTAGCGAGGAAGGTAGCTGCATTCCATTTGCTGGCAGAAGACCCTGGCAGGGTAAAAGCAGCATCTGCCAAGAGCTTTAACCAAGGCTTCTCCAAATGACGTGCTTTCTGTTTTAAGGCTCCTGGAGCACTTTTACACATGATCCAGGGGTGTGGGGGGGGCACTTTAATTAGAGCAGCTCTGAGAGCCATTCTAGTTAAAGCACCACAGAATCTCACGTATGGGGGCACTTGAACTAAAGCAGTGGGGGCACTTGAACTAAAGCTCGTTTGATGAACTTTAGTTAAGGTACCCCTGCCACCATTTTGAACACGTGGACGCTAATACACAAGACACAGAAGCTGGCTGGAGCATGGCAATTACCATTCTCCAGCAGATTCAATTAGTCAAGTCTGCTCTGACGCGCTGTAATTATAGTGCATCAAAACAGCCCCGCAGCACATTTACAGGCACCCCTGGAGTTTGAGTTCTTTGAAATTCTTGCAGTCCAGGATTCTGTAGATGCAGAGGGACTCTCACTCCTCCCTTTCAGGCCAGCCCCAGGCACTGGTGCACAGGAAGTGGGATATCTACTGTGCTCAGCAGTGTCCCCTCCTGGCAGGAGATGGCAATCAATTCTCAGGTGGAAAGGGCTCATGTGTAAGGGAAGAAGAGATGTGAAGAGGGGTGGGGATGGAAATCTCAAGAGTTCTAGAGGATGCCTGCTACATACACATGCCACATGCACAAGAACAATGACCATGAGTTGTAACTGCTACTAATCCTGTCCCAAATCTGCCCCAAAGCCCTGCTGGTGCCTACCTGGGGTCTTAGTTTCATTGGGGATGATGCAGCGGACAAAGTGAGGCTGGGTGGCACGCAGGTTAGTCATCAGCTTGTTGAGGTTCTCCTGTAGGGCAGACAGGCAGGATGAAATGGAAGGTCCTGCTGTCCTGCCTTGCACTGAAGCTCACTCACTCCCAGCCCACCACAGTGGGTGGAAGCAGAGAGGCTACTTGTCATTTCTCACTAATACCCTCCACAGTGATGGCCTGTCCTTCTCTAACCAAGGCACAAGTACTAATTTGAGCCCATGTCAGGGCCCTGTGGAGTCCCTGGATCACTTGGGAAGGGGCTGTCAAAAGGCTGAATGTCACCAGCACAGTCTTTGAGGAACTGGTGATGTACCATCTCCTTGAAATTTTTAGTGTAAAGTTAATGACAGTGAAAGCTGAGTGTCCTGGGCAAAATCTGCAGGCAGCCTTCAATCCTGACCTTTACCTCCCTATTATTCTTTCCTGGGATTACCCCCATGCACAGCTTTGCCAGTACCCCTCAGTCCCAATCTGCTGGTCACCACAGCTCTACCAATGCCCCTCAATCCTCATTTTCTAGCTCTTTATCGCTCGCTCTTCAGCTACTAAAGCTTAGTCTTATCCTGGGATGTTAAGGTCCTGCTATAACTTTCTAATCTGGGGCCTTGTATCCTTCCAACATCCCAAATTCTGTTCCATTGAGATGTACTAGAGGGCTGCAGCCCTGTGGAAGCACTACACGGCTCCTATCTGGGGTCCTGAGCACAGCATAGCTATTGAACCTGAACAGCACTGCTTTCAGTAATGGGTTTCTTATAGGTTTGAGTGGGCATGAAGAGGAAGCTACAAACTTTATTTCCATTTGTTGCCTGCCTTTGGCCCCAGGAGTGTGAGGATGGAGCCAGCCACGTTGCTTAGGCAGCCTCCTCCTCTCAAACCACCAGGTAGCTCCTGTGAACTTTGTTACACAATGCCACTACAGTGAAAGAAATTGGCAATGTTGGAGGGTACATGGGGATAGAGGGGATGGGCCCACATGGTACAGTTCATCTTATTCAGAGTGTGGAGTGGGGAGCTAACATGATATTAGTATCTGGGTTTTCCTTTCACTTTAAGAACCAGCACAAGCTCACTTGATGAGACTTTACCACTCTTGTGAGAAAGGCAACCTCTGTTCTGCCACCAGAGACTGAATTCTTCTCTCACACTAAAAAGAGACATCTCATAGCAGCTATGTTGCACAGTGCTAGGATTGTCAAAGGCAAAAGCCGTTCCCTTGAGACTTTGAACTATTCTTGAGAAAGAAACCCAGAAATGAGTTGACTCAAGAGACTTCAGCTCAGAAGCATCTCCTCTCTCCTCTGCTGCTAGAGCTAACAGAGTTGCTGGCACCGCCCCCCCCCATCACCGCAGTGTGAAACTGTTACTGCAGGATCTGGCTTTATGTTTGGGAACCCCAATGGCTTTATTTCTAATCCACTCCCCTTGCTTCCTTGGCCCAAAGATGGACATAGAAACAACTTGGCTATGGTTGTGAGCTGGGGAGCTCAGTGGAATGTGCTCCCCAAGCTAGCAAACTGCCTTAGTCATCTCTCAATACAGGAGAGCCAGGGGGCTGATTGCTGAGCTCTGCAAAATCCACCTTCATTTCTTCTGCCCAAGGGCTGTCCTTCCCGCAGTCAAGAGTGAGGAGAGAAGTAGCACAGACTTAAAGTGATGTTCATGTAATACATTATCTAAACATCACTGCAAGTCTTAACTGCCGCTCTCTCAATGGCGAAGAAGCTGCCAGGCGCCAGGCAGCACAGACATCATGGGACAGAAACTGCACAAGCCCCACCTCACAGGAAGCTATTTTCCTCTCAGTCTAGGACCCTGGGTCCTTCACTGAGTGCACAAAGATGAGAAGCAAACAGCAAGAGAATAGGGCTGTGACCCACATGAGTATCAGAGCACACATTGCCTGATGGGTGGAGATGCTGAAACCAAGCTCCAAAAAAGACCACCCTCTGAGGTTTTTCTCTCTATTATGGTTCCAGAATGCCCGGGCCTATCCACAGGAATTGTTATAGTCTCTCTCTGGGACTTGTGAACAGGTTTCCCTGATGGCCTGAATGGGGGGTTGTCCTTACCTTGTGCAGCTGAGACACAGTTTGGAAGGAAGCTGCCTTCTTACGCTTCTCCTTGATTCCTGACTTGGGTGGATCTTCTGTTGGAGTGAAACATCAGTACATTGATAAAGTATTCCTTCCTTCTCTTGTGAGCATCTACTTAGGTGAGGTTTGTGTCCTTCCTAAACCATGGTCTGCCATATCTACTGGGCATGGAAGATACTAACACTATTGTTGGTACTGCTAGAGGTACAACAGCTGTCCCAGGGAATGATAGGGGAGGGGAAGAGAAAGAGGTGTGAGCACATCCTAGGGCTAGTTGTGGTGGATAGTTTATGAGTGCCTGACCACAGCTCCTGGAAGGAAGGCATTGCATGTAGGGGATGAGTAAGCATATACACAGAGGCTTGTGTCTCAGCTGGATGAAAGTTCTCCTAGGAGCAGCGTGTAGGACAGAATCCCCCTTTATCACACAACATTGGGAGAATGAAGTAGCAAGTGAGTCCTGGCTCCCTTTGGTGCAAATATGAGCTAAATTCCCACAAACTTCGCCCAAGCTCAGGTTTTTCCACTTGCCCCCAGGCTTTGCTAAAAATGGTAAAAGCAATACATGACTGTGGAGCCAGCCCACAGGTAACTACAAACTTCTATCACCCTTGCTGGTTTTATCTGGCCCTCCCCTTTGAGATTCCCCTTCATTCACACGACACCATCTGTCTCCAATGTCACCCGAACTGTACTGCAGCACCCCTACTCCAGGGACAAGGAGACCATACAGCAGTATTAAAGTCATTCTTCCATAGGTCAGTGCAAAAGAGCAATGCCTGCACTAACCAACCAGAAGGCCTCTTTGTGACCAAGTGATGGTCTTTTACTGTCAGAGCTGCTAGCCAACTGAAGCAGGCTGTTGTTTGCAAAGGGATGATGAAAGTATGGCCACAGAGAGAACATAGTCTGTGTAAAGGGCAAACTGAGACAAAGCGACATCTTACCTGAAGTGGCACTCACATAATTCTCATATACAGCAGACAGGAGCTTATTCTGAGATTTCTGGAAGATAGCCACCACTGTCTCATTCAGGGGGTCTTTATTCTTATCCAGCCACCCAATGATATTGTAAGGCACCTGGTGAGAAAGAACAAAGGAAAGAGCAATTGCAGCCCAGCACAGAAGGCACAAACAGTCCATAGAAAAAAAAATAGCCTGAGACGTACCACTCCAGCATAGTGTACCAGCTCAAAATGAGCCTCATATTTGCGCCTTTTATCTGGCCGCGGCTTTTGGAAGTTGGGCGACTTTCCAATGTGGTTGTCATACAGCTTGGCTTTGAAGGACATGTCAGAGGCTTTGGGAAACATGCATTCCTCCTCCAGGATGGAAAGGATTCCCAGGGGCTGCAAGACAAAGGTACCATCAGCAGGTTGGAATTCAGCACAGCAGGAAACAGACTGCCACGTCTCTCCACCATATTCCATCCACAAGCATAGTCATTCCTGCTCCTGAATAGCAGGAGACTTGTTCTGTGCTACTGTCAAGAAAATGCCAAGGGTCTGTCCAAGAAGGCTGTTTCCTCATTCTGGCATATGGCAAGAAGTGATGTGGGTAGGAACCAGGGCACAAATTGTTATAATTTTGTGTTGAAATAGTTCCATCTTTCTTTCCCATATCCCAGATGGGAAGACAATTCTAGCATGAAATTCTCCCCTAAATCTTTTGCCTGCTGCATTCCCCCTAACAAGTAAGAGTCAGGAATGGGTCAGATTTTCACAGGCCCAAAATGGATTTTTCCCAGTTCCCACAGAATGTCAGTGAGAGCCAGGAGACTTTGGGCCCTTCAAAACCTACTTTGTCTTGTTTGTCAGCTCCCTGCCAATGTGATTTCTCCCCACCTGTGGAAATACTTGTACAGAGCTATTCTAAACCAGTAAGTGCCAGGCAGGAATGTGGAATCTCCAGAGGACCTAGTGAGCATTGTAGAACAAAGGTCACACCGGTGAGAGTGAGTTGTTATGCACTGCGCTACAGACCTATTATGTTGTGTTGCTTGGCTGGCTGACTGATTTGGAATAGGGGTTCTCAAAGTTCTATGCAGTCTATAACAAAGAGCCAAAGGCTCCTGCTACAGACCTCCTGCTCCTGCAGCAAAGAGGGCCTCAGGAGTCTGGCAGAGAAAGCTGCTCATTATGAATTGACAGGGAACTGCAGGAGTTACCTGATGCAAGCACTTACCACAGAACTAGTTATGCTGGAGTAGCACCATGGGCTACAGCCTTGCATGGGAAACAAGATAGAAGCACAGCAGAGTCCAACAGCAATAAGCCACTTTGAAACTGAATCAGGAAACACTTGCAGCATCTCAGGGAGGCACCTGACAGGTAGGGGGCAGAAGCAGGGCCAGGGAGGTATATAAACACAGGATCTGATCCAGGAGAGTCAGTCTGACCATGGAGGCTGCTGGGGCAAAAGCTCTCCTAGTTGGCATGGGGGCTATCTTGAGGAAGGTAAATAAAGTGCTGATGCCTCACAGCAGAACATTACCTGAGGTAAAGAGAAGCCTTGTTACGCAAGCAGGTAGCCATTGCTTATGTTTGGACTGGGGTAGGAGTTGTTTGTGTTTGCTAGAACGCTTACTCTTTGGTTACTGTCAACTGGTGTTTTGCAAGTGGTTGAAAGAGGAGTGTGCAGAAGCTATGGTGGGGTGCCTGAGGGGCACATGCTGTTTTAACTCACAGTGAGGTGCCAAGGGCATGCCAGAGTTAAGAGCCTGGCTAGGGGCCTTGATGCCCAAGCCAGGGCATGCCACAGGCTTAGGCTTGAGAGGAAATCTAAAGCAGAGAGAGAGGGTGAAACCTAGCTTGGGCGAGAGCTGGGCAAGGGCCAGGGTCCCAGTGACCAGCAAGGAGGGAGCCAAGGCCAGGGAGCCCAGGAACCTAAGCAGGTCCAGCAAGAGTATTGGCCAGAACAGGGCAAGGACAACACCAGATTAGCTGGTCAGGGGCTGGATCCCAGAAGACAGGTCAGGCACAGTAGGCATAGGCTAAGGGAACTAGCAAAAGAAAAGGGGCTGAGGCTGGGAAGGCTGAGACCCCAGCAAGGATCTGAGGTGGCCTGCTATTGAGTTGGAGCCAATTGCCCACCAAAGTCATTATTTGGTAACACTTGCAAGGTATGGGCATGGCTGTAAGGGAGGTTGGAGGCAGTGATTAGTCCTTAAGGCTAACTGGCACCCGAGGGAAGGGCACTGACGTGTTATCAGGGCCTACCTAGAGAGGAACCAGGGCTCACTCTAGGACCCACTAGGCAGACTCCCTTCCAATCAAACAATTTCATCAAGTCATGGCAGGGAAGTAAAAAGGGGAGGGCACCTTAGAGCTGGAGCTGAGTAAGGGTTGCATAGTCACTAGGGACTGTCACAGTTACCTCTAGAGCCCAAACCTGCTTATACAGTCCAAATGGATTTATATTTAACACTTCCTGTCTCAGACACAGATGAACTTGCTAGCAGACCCTGACCTGACTCAGCATCCTATGCCTTACCTTCTCAATCAGATCAATGCAGGCTTGCAAATCCAGGCCAAAGTCAATGAAGACCCACTCAATGCCTTCCTTTTTGTATTCTTCTTGCTCCAGAACAAACATGTGGTGGTTGAAGAACTGCTGCAATTTCTCATTGGTGAAATTGATGCATAGCTGCTCAAAGCTGTTATACTATAGGTATAAAACAAATCTCTGCTTCAACAGGAGGAGCATACAGTAGTTAAGGGAGTCACCAGCCCACTCTATACTCTGGCTCTCCATGACAGTAAAGTAATTCCTAAGGACTTAGAGGAGTTATTCTGGGTAAATGAATTAACACAAGGGCTCCACACTCCATAGAGACCTGTCTCTTCATGGAGGAAGCAAAGCTCCTTCAAGGCATGGAAACTGCTCTGTCCATGTTTGGGGATCTCAGACAGTTACTGCACATGCCACCCCAGCACCTTGCACAGCTACTATGCATGTCCCACAGCCCACCTCAAAGATCTCAAAGCCTGCAATGTCCAGTACTCCAATGAAGAATTGCCTGGCCAGCCTGGTGTCTAGGGTTCTGTTGATACGAGTCACCAGCCACTTAAACATACGATCGTAGGTGGCTTTTGCCAAGGCCCCGACTGCGTACACCACCTGTCAGTGCAAATGAGAAAGGGATTGTCATAAAAGGACTTGGTTCCAAAAGATTTCATTCTTTCTACATCCAGCCAGACTGGCTACTCTCAGAACTGGAGGGGGAAAGCCAGCCACAGCAAGGGAAATCACTATTCCCATCAAGGACCTTTCATGTTTGCAGCCACTAAGTTGGGATGTGTTCTGTGTTCTTGCCATTTATATTGTGCCTTTTTGTCCTGCCTAAGGGTACATGCAGCCAGCTGAGAAGATATTGGAATGGAGCTTAGATCTGGTGTGAAATTTTCATAAGCACCCAAGTGATCTAGGAGGCAAAGTCCCAGTGACTTATTACAAGACTCAGGATTCTCTGAAACTGAAACTTAGGCTCCTCATTCATATAAACATGTCTGAAAAGTTTACCACAGGACTGGCCTTCAGGCCTGACTCACAATACAAGCCAAGTTTCAGGATCCATCAATGGTGCTGAAATCTCACAAACTGAAATTGCAAGATTTCAACTCCCAATGAGCTGTTGTTTTGTTGAGGCTTCCACTATCTTAAGCCAAATTTCTCATGAGATTTTGCCTGTACTTGAAGCAGAACCACACAAATGAGGTCTCTCCCAAAGTCTGGATCCAAGCTAGAGAGACCAGAGATTTGAGCCCAAGCTCTCTGCCATTCAAAAGAGTTTGAATCAAAATTATAACCTCAACCCATGTCTATAAAATGCAGTGTCTGAAACTATCTGGCCATCAAGCCACCATATTCTTTAACTACTCTAGCATAGTAACAAGGAATGATCTGTACCATTGATGAAAGCCATTTGTACTTTGTTGAAAAGCCATATCTATATTTTACCCCATGGTCTTGGGACTCCCAAAGTCAGACTCTGTGAGACCACAAGAGAAGGTGAATTTTTAATCCAAGTGCCTTGCACTGGGAATGCCACCTGAAGTCATGACTCTTCTGGGTACATATTGCTGAGATCCTAGGTAACACCGTAAGCAGGAACCATAGTCACAATTCACTCACCTGTTCAACATTCTGACCTTTGGTCACATACTCATTTCCTACTTTCACTCTGGGATGGAGCAGCCCTTTGATGAGATCAGCTGAGCTGATTCCCATGAGATAGGCAGCCTTGTCAGCACCTGCAATGCAGTGTCAAACCATGAAGATGCCAGCACTGGGACAGACATAGTCAAGAAATGAATGTGGGCTCCTAGAGTATGGAGGACTTTAAAGTCTGCTGACTTTCACTGGGTGAAGCACCTACCCTCTATTCCTCTGGACATGTGACGTAAAGGGGCATTCTGTGCGGGGGGTGTTTACAGGTGGACTGTTGTTGCATGTATTCCTTACTGAGGTGTTACCAATTTGGAGAAACTGTTCCAAAAGATTTGGTCCATCTTAATAGGTTTACTTTAATCCTCACAGTTTGGTGGCAAGATGCATGCCTCCTTCCTCCTCATCCCTCCTATTGCAGCTGTACAGTACACAGCTGCACAACAATTCTGGCAAATATTAGCATGTGACTGTTGTAGAGCTGTTAGAGTTCTTTTGTTGAAGGTTATAT